AGTAATGCTCTATTATTGGAAGTCTGGAAGATTACACCTCAAAATGTAAAAGGTTCAAACACTTTATTACATACTAAAGGCTTAGTTCAACCAAAAATCTACTCACCATTTTGTTCCAAAATCCAAAAGACATTCAGTTATCTTTGAGGGACAAATTAAAATATTCCTTAATTATATCGGTGAGATTTCTGAGCCTTCATTTTAAATCAAAGCTTGACACTTCAGATCGCCTAAAAAGACATTGTAAAAGAAATCCAAATTAATTGGATGGTTTAATCCAAGTCTTCTAAAGAAACACAATCGCTTTTTTATGAGAAACAAATTTAATATAGGTTTTCATTCGCATATAAACACTGATTAACACACATACATACAGCACATCAAAAATGGGCAACAGTCAAGCGTACTTGACACACGTGAACAGTGTTGCCAAGTCCGCGGTTTTCCTGCAGAATTGGGCTACTTTACCACTGTTGCCACGGGTTGATTTTCATGTCCGTGGGTTTAAGCGACCCCAATAAAATGCAAATTTTACCAGGGGAACCCCACCAAAAACGTGTATTTTACCCCACCGGAATTAGATTTTTACCAGGGGATCCCCCTCGAAACGCGATTGGGCTAGTTTTGGGCCAGTTTTGAGTAGCAATTGGGCGGGTTTTGTTGTGAAAACCTGGCAACCCTGCACGTGAACCAATTCGGTTTGTTTGTATGCGTCAAGCAAAACTTTAAATAAACCACTCAATTACTATGGATTAGCTTACTTTTATGATTTCTTTCTGAAGCATCAACATTTTGGTGGATTGGACTTTCAACGGAAGGAAAGAAATATCTCAGGTTTCATTAAAAACATCTTCATTAACTAAAGTATAAAGCCCTACTTCAGTTTTTACGTGTACGCGAGGTTCGTGAACAGTGTGCGTGACACAAATATTGCAAATAGCGTAGAACAGCTATTTAAGTTCTGTAATTATTTAGTGAAATGCTTATTCAGTTAGAAACACATTGACTTGAATAGCCTATATTCTTTGGTAATTGATTGGATTGGGATTAACATTCTCTTTTTTACAGTTGGCTGGAAGGGAGGGGTTGAAAAAAACGTTGTTTCATAGTTATTGCATTTTGATGATACCTTACTGTAGGTCAATTCTGATTGAATTTTCACTACAGTATGAGCTGAGCAGCTATCACACCTGAAGAAGTATTTAAACAATCATACACGGCCTAAATGATCGTTCTCCTCAAATAAGAGAAAGTATCTTTCTAAATAACATGCCACTTCAACAAGCACCCACACAGAAAGAAAGATTGTCAGTCAGGGGCCATTAAAACGTAACCGAGCCAGGGGCCGAGAAGAGATATTATCATTAAGTCTTCTCATAGTCATGCTAAAAACCACAAATATTATTTCTACATAACCCTCCTCCCCTCGTAGTGACAGAAAAGGCTAAACGTCTTTAACTTCTCTGTGTTTTCAGACCGTCTAGCGCTGGAGTGCATGAGAAAGCTTTCTGTTTTAATTGAACAGGCATGTTTCGGCGTGGAATCGCTTTCCCTTAAACAAGCTCCTGAAGTGACAGTTAGAAAGCGTCGTTAAAAGCGTTCAGACGCAAAACTAGTTAACTGCTCTGCGCTCGAATTGCTTAGATCTGTGTTTGCTAGCAGATGGAGAGGCACTCGTAAATCATTTAATGTGCTTTGAAATCTCGTTATGAAGGGTCATTTTGCGATTGTCGTTCAGATCAGGCTTGTAAAACGACGCATGATTAGCTTGTCAAATTCCCTTAATGCTTTTTCATGAAAAAGCAAAAACTCTCAGTTTCTTTCCCATCGGTCCCACTGTATGTGTTTGTGTGAGTGTATTGGGTGGTCAGGACCCCTCTGCATTCTTCAGAGCGATCTGCTGCCCCTGGGGCTGCCTGGCCTGCCGTATAATTGCCCTCCGCTACAGATAGTTACCAGCCTTCCCTGTCCCTCTCCTCTTCTCTTCTTCCCCCTGTTTATTCTCTCTGATTTCAGGCTCCTTTGGGTCATCATTCATCAATGGGGCCCCCCAGCCCCTGAGGACTCGACCGGGAGGCCCCTGTTACTACGCCTCCATAACCAGAGGCCATTTCTGATGGAGGCGCATTATACGGGGGAACAAGAGAGCATGAAAATGCAACACAAGGCAGGGGGTGAACGGCGGTGATTATTATATCCAGATAATCATTTCAAACAAATGATCATGATAATCAATCAATCGTCACATTTGAGGTGACTCGCCTCAGGGCTGCACGATGCCCCTCCAGACCTGTAATGTATTTGGGGGCATAATCAGATGTCCTAAATTCGCAGGGTTGCTTGAGATTATATTTTTACAGGAGCAGATTTTCCTGGTTCAGTTGAGATAACATTAGAGATTAATTTCCACTGCGGACAGACCTCCTTTTACTGATTTTAACAGGTAAAGCAACTCTCCTTTCACCTTTCCATGAAAAGAAGAAGACGACAAAAAAAGTGGTGCAATGTGCCACATGGCATGTGTGAGAGCTATAAATATTATGGTACAATGCAACAATAGCCATTTTTCTTTAATCTACCTTGAAAAAAAATTATATA